CAGCCTGCAGCCTCCAGCCCGGGGCACAAACCCGCAGTCTCCCAATTAATCACACTCCTCCTCCTCTTCCTCCTCCTCTTCCTCCTGTCCTCTCCTCTCCTACCACATGGTCCTTTGTACCCCTTATAGTCCCATTCACAACACTGAAGCTCCTCTATTTAGTACTGACTTATACTCACCGATCTGTTCATATAGCTACACATTAGAATAATATAATTGTTTGTCAGCTGCAGATTTAAGATCCTTCATATATACACATTTATATCATAAATTGTCATAAAAAAACAAGCAGGTAGTATTACTGGGTGTATAACCAGAAGGATGCTATTAAAATGTTACAGTAAAACGTCAAAATAGGCAGAAAATATTACAGTGACAAGAAAAAAATACTATTAAAGGCAATAAGTTCACTATAAAAGTGACGAATAAACATAATTAAACCCTATAACGACCTTTAATGATACTGTAAGGCTGGTAATGAGACTAATAAAAATGCCAAAGTACACAAAGTTGACCATAAACCACAGCACGCATTAGGACATAAGTCCATACAGGAGTTTTAGGTTGATGCGAAGCAGGGGACGCCATTTTTTTTTTTTTATAATTTGGACATGAATTAAAAGCTTAAACAGAATCCTCTCCCATCCCATGTGAATGAATCCACTCCAGGAAGCGCTAACAGAAGCTAACAGCTCCGTGACAACAGAGCAACCTAAGAGCTAACAAGCAGCGAACTTGTGAATGAAAGTCGACCGAAATAAAGTGCTTGAACGCAGCGAGCAGCTCACCTTTGTCGCTCTTCTCCTTTTCCATGTTAAAAATAAATATTCTCCTCGGACCGGTGACAATAGAGGCAGGGCGGGTGTGCCCCTGTCAAACCCCCAGCAGCGACTGACTGACAGCAGCGACGGCCAATTGTAGGTTACCAGAGGCGGGACTTGTGCCCTGTGTGGGACAGCTCCATCAGTGAGTGAGGGAGAAAATGTTTGTTTATTACATGCTGTCCATTGTCAGGGGCTGAAATACAGGCTCATGCAGCTGAAACAATGGCTGTTTTTCTTTAATAAAGAAAAGAGAAATGACATTACGGTACAGATGCATTATGAGCATCTATATATATATATATATATATAACCTCAACCAAAGGGTTTTAGTAGTCTAAAACTACATGCTGCTAATTAATAATGAGAAATTAAGAACTAATTCTCATTATGGTGGAGACTCCCGGAGCTGCCCTTAGGACACAGTGCATCCAGTTAATATGTAGATAATTGGATAAAATATTCAATATTAATGGAAATGTGGTTGTTGGAGGATTAGAGAGGAGGATATGACAGAGGAGAAACAAATTAAGATGAGAAATCAGACAGTTTCATGGAGGGAACATGTTAAGACAACATTGTTAAAGATCTTCTTGGCAGATTCATGGTTTTAAATTCATTTTCTGATCATTATTTTAATAACAATCCAATAAGGGATTGTAATTTCAGCTATGTGTAACAGGAATATATCCAATAAAAGTCCATTTAAAATGTATTACAAAGTGGATATCAGATGTTTTACAAATGATCAGACACTGTGTGGTTTGTTTTTAATGAATGATTATGAATAATTACAGAAATGATAATACTAACTGCTTATGAAACACTGGACAGCGAATATGTTTTGATTTCTATATTCAGAAGGCGAGAACTTCTCTCTGCCCTTGGCAGCAGTGGAGAAACTCAAAATGCAAACGATGGGGATAAATATTGTCTCTCAATGTGAATCTTACACCACAGGCTCTGAACAACGTGTGAAAGTCTACAGCGTTGTTTTCTCTGGGTAAGAGGCCTGTCTGCCTGAGGAGATGAAAGGTCTCTCTGCTTGTGAAATCCAGTCTGGGTGGGTCTCCCTACTCTGATGCATCACATTCACACTGCAGGCGTCATGCTCAATCAGAAATCACTGCTCATATTAGCACTTGTTGGATGACCGTTCATATCTTTCATGGATAGGGCCCATATCTGATACCCAGCCCCCCACATGCGATGACGCAAACAAGAAAGATGTGTCATCCTTGGATGTTTCTTCACAGTTGGAGCCTTGTAACACCCTCATTAGGTTAACAGCTGTCATCCTTAACTTCTGAGATATGTCGTCACTCAGAGTTTCATCAGATTCAGAATCAGACCAACATATCTGATGATGGCTCACATTTACTTTTGTTAGTGGCTCAGCATTCTCATAACTAGTCTTAACATGCAGTATGAAACACTACTGCTGTGTGACAGATTATCTGCTGAATTGACACAGCAAAAAAGAGGAGAGGTCAGATTTGTAGTCAAAACCAAAGATAAACCAAGGCACACTGCTCTGTCCTCTTCAGGGTGTGTAAAAAACAAATGGCAGCTCACATACAGAGCAAGGCTGCTGCCTGGTAGCTGGATAATTATTACAGGTGCAATCAATAAAGCGGGTATCTTTAAGGAAAGCGAATCCTTCACACACAATCAATAACAGCAGATACGCCCAAACAGTCAGATTAAGAAATAAAGTTACATAGAAAAATCCCAATATTAAAATATTCTGATACAAAGTCTAGCTCTTCATTCAGGCCTGGACTTGCTATGGCTCGTAACTTTAAGGGTCAAAATGTTTCTCTTTGTAGCAGTGTCTTGAGTATGTCCTCCTCTCTTGGTCATTTCCATGGCATCTATACATTGATCAGCCATAACACTATGAGCACCGACAGTTGAAGTGAATAACTCTGATTATCTGGTTATCATGGCTCCTGTCAGTGGGTGGGCTATATAAGGCAGCAAGTGAACATTTTTTCC